TATCATATTGGATAGAAAAAATGTGGGAGTCAAGTAAATTGTATTTAGTTATCAGTTAAGAGATGACCATGGTGTCTCAGCAGGCAAAGTTAGTCCCACATTAGTCTCACGTAATTTTGACCTGGAATTTTGGCCTGCTCAGATACTTCACTAAACTGGTATTACCCTTTTTATTGTAGACTTTTTAGAAGCAGACTGACTTTCTTTTGCTATTATGGTTGTATGCTTCAAAAACTTTCAAGTTTGACCTTTTTTTATAATAATATGTAATAAAGTTGCATATTCTGTGAAACCCACTCCAGCAAAAAGCTTAAGCATAAACTGTGGATGTCCCCTGCCTGGAAGTGTTCAAGGCCAGGTTGGACAGTCTTGAGTAGCCTGGTCTAAATGAGAGGCGTCCCTGCCCATGACAGGGAAGTTGGATTAGATGATCTCCAAGGTCCCTTCCAGCCTAGGCCATTCTATGATTAGCAGGCACTTCAGTCAGCTACTTAAGGTGTACACAAGTTTGCATATGGCATGTTCCTGTGGACTTAAATTAGGCTTTGCCACTGTGTGGAAATGTACTTTAAAAATACTTGATGTATGAATACTTGATGATAAAGATGTACTTTCAGAATACTTGTGTATTTTGGGTAATAGCCACTGCTCAGTCAGGGCTTCTGTCTTGTAGCAAAGTCAAGTGCCTTGGCCTGAGACAGCTCCCATGCCTGCAAGTTTACCGGTCATTCAGTATTACTGAAAAATGAAGAAATTTTGGAACAAATCTCCAGTTCTTCAGGCTTCTGCAGAAGATGACTTTTAAGACAAAGTGCATTTCGGTGTTACATGGGCAATGTTATGATTGTTCAGGTTTCTTGCTAACAGTTAATAATTACAAACAGACTGTCTCAGTGAGTAAAGGGTAAGTAATGTCGGACTCGATCCAGCTCCCACATGGAGCCATCACTGAGCAAGCGCCTTACTCCAAAGCGACCTGCTTACGTTGCTGCTCTTTGTAGAAGGAAGAAAACAGCTGCTAGTAAGCCTCTGTTTCCTGTTCAGTGTGGGAGTAGGAGGATGAGGAGGGAGGGAGAGGTTAAAATCTCTGACCTCACTCCTCTGCTGCACTTTCTAGAGCAGCTGAGTCATTCTCGAAGGGAAAACGCGTTGCAGCACTGCAAAAGGCCTGGCCTAGCTTATGGGCTGCTCTCCATCTGCGACTGGAAGAGCTCTGTCTTCCTTGGCCAGGCCCCACTGCAGGGGACTAGAAAAAGTTAAAGAAACTTTTGGTTTTAGCATGAACTGAATCAGGTCTGTAATGGGTGAACACAGAGAAGTTAGGATGTAATCAGTGCAATTTTGAATCTGACTCTGCCAACATGAGCATTAGGAATCCCACCGATGTCTTTGGGGACCAGGAATAGACTAATGCACTGCACTTTTGTAAATGTCACCTTAAATTTTGACTGAGTTTAATATTAATATTGTGAAAAGATTGGTGCTGCCTTGGAAATAAATGTGTGGCTACCACTCTACAGTGCAAGACAAAATTTTCAAAATTTAATTTGTAATAAAATGGTTGTAGTTGATGTAAAGATGGAAAATTATGTCTTCAAAACTGTAAAAACATTGTTGCTTTGTTTTGACCCACACAATTTTTGTTTAATCATTTTATCACTTTAAGCAATCTTTAAGGAGAATCTTAATGTTCTAATTAAACAATTATTTAAAATAATTTACTGTAATTTGAAAAAAAACTACCTCACTCCAAGAACAGGTACTCAAGATCATTACTTATTTTTTTCTGAAGAATAGGAGAAGCTTTAGAACTAATGAAAATAATTCATTCTTTCCCCTTTTTTCTAACCTTAGAGTCAACCAGTTAACAGTTTTAAAATAAACTGCAGAGATAAAGCCACAATTCAGGCATTATATGTGAAGTGAAGCCGGTTGAAACTATTATCTTACTCAGTTGTTCTGTCTTATTTGACAGTTTATATACAGTAAAGACGGAAAGTAATGCATTTGATTTATTTTTTTTGTTTTTCC